TTGTTATTTGAGCTGCTTAGTTGCACGGTTCTGGGTGGTGATTTTTCCGTTCACCCTCATATCTCAGTAACGGTTCCGAATATTACAGTTTCATTCCAATGTGTAATAGCTAATCATTATATCTATACGCTGTTGAAGTTTCAGCTCAAAATTCTCATCCACTAACGAGAAACACAGATTTTTCGGAAAAAAAAAGGAAAATAGAAAAAAAAATCGAGAAAAAAATTTAAAATTTTTCGAGAAAAAAAATCGCTCCTGAGATACCCGTGATCTTCTTCCCATTTCCGGCTCGCAGTCTACCAAACCATGACCAGACATCGAGAAGCCCAGGAGCTCCCATAAAATCAAGATGGTCAGTATGCGAATAAGCATTTTCTCATCATACCACTCTTTCTCGGAATAGACGACCAAAGAACGGTATGTGAGAGGAAAAGTCGCCATGGGAATTCAACGATCCAGAATCGCCTACTTGCTTGATCGAGGATTCTGAAATACTCGGCAAGGAGAACACATCAATGGTCATCAAATCCAGCCGCCCACACGAATAGCCGTGAAGCCAAGCGAGTCACCTCCACTGTGTACTTCCGATTCAGGAGCTGTGTCTGAGTCCAACTTAGCTCACCGGAAGTGGCTCTGAGAGATTAATGTTCACTTCCGGCGAGATCGACCACGGAGCCCACTCGAGCGTCACCACCCATCACCACATCAGCATCGACCTATCTAACGAGCAAAATCTGATTCGGTAACGTAATTGTATGAAGCCTGGAAGTCTCCCAGGAGTACACAAAGCAGATCAGCCCGCTGTATTACCAACGAAAATCTATTTATAAACCGTCCAGCGGGTTCACGCAAACACCCTGTACACTACTCCTACATCGATTCCAGCGACTTCGAGCTCCCCGTTTGCAGTCAGCCATTCGAGACAAGCTAACATTATAAGAATACACTACAGGGCGATCTGAAATCGATAACTCAACCTCCCGAAAAAAACTTGAAAAAAAGGAAAAGTAGACTATTCAGCGAGCGTCGTCTCCTTCTCATCAGTTTTCTTCGAGTCCTCAGCTGTAGCTTTCTCCGTGAGATACGCCTGGTATCTGCAAATACACACATAAACCCGATAAAGTGAAAACTCATGCCTACACCAAAACAGCGAAAGCTGCATCAATAACGAGGTCACTGAGGTTCCAAGCCAGATAGTAGTTGCTCCAATGCTCAGGATAGCCGCCGCTAATACTAACATAGTCGACCACAGCGCCCAGCAAAATCCGATCGAGTCCGTTCCTGCACGCAAAAGCATTACACTCCACTGGTCTTGCGGCAGAACCCACCCAACAGCTCCACACATAAAAAGGAACATTCCGAGTTTGTTGCGCCAGCTCGCATCCTTCTTACAGAAGAAGTACACAAACCCAGCCACCACTAGGAAAACCGAGCTGGCCATCAGGAATCGGTAGACATCGCGATTAAGCCGACGCGCGAAACTGAAAATCAACAACAGTGTCGTTCCAGATGAAGTCAAAAGTTCACCTGAAAGCCGAATGGCGATTTTCCGTGTAAGTGATGTCGAAGGTGACCACTGGTGCGAAACTGAAACACGGCATTTCTCATACCACACTAAAGTGAATCCGTACATGTCCGTGATGAGCTTCTGAGGACGGTAAACATGCGCGAGATACTTTAATGAGAACTCCAGGGCTAAGAACAGTCCGCCAGCAATCCACCATTTACACGGGTAACCAAAACCAGCAGTATCGCTCGTGTCATTGACCTCGGCAGCACCTGAGCATTTTTTCAAGACTATAGGACTGTCTCGGTACTGTGGACATTTTCCAAAAAGCCTCGGGGACTCGAGAGGACCAGTCACCATGCTCGACAGACCTCCAATGGCAACAGAAATGTTCGTGCAGAATAGTGATCCCCAACCGTAAGCACACTAAAGCAGTGTTGGAATATATTTTTGGTTCATAATGGAATTTTGCTTCAGGGTAGAAGTATGCAAAAATATTTTACCAAAATTCCCTCACAATTTCCATATTGTCACCAACACACATAGCTGACCATGTGCGCATTGCCCCTACACTAAATCAAAGGACCAACATGTCGATCCGCCACCCGCCAAATTATCATTGACAGCAACGGAGCCGGGAGAGTCAAAAACAATCAACTAGAAATGATTTCAGGATGAGACTACTACCTGCCGGACTGCCATCGACTTGTCCCTCAGAAGTTTCCACTGGACCTTCAGCACGACGGCGCAGAGTCGAGTCGTCTGCGGTAGGCATCTCTGATCAACTGGAGCGGACAAGTACTCACACACGAGTACAACACAATACAGCTTCTCCACTGGACAACGCGGCGCTGAAAATTAGTAGCTACCATATTTTGACCGAGACACTCAACTTGCGCCATGTGTCGCTCGATGCAACAACAATCATGAGGTCATGGCCATCAGTAAAACCTCCCGGGAGACCGATTTCGTGATATAACTGTAGAAGATCGGAAGCTATAGATGAGAGAGGATGATGAACAATCATCCTCATCATTAATGATGGATTGAAGAGTTTTTGATATTAAGTTTATATAAACCACCAGTTCGATTATTAGAGTATGGAGGCTTTTTGAGATGCCGCGCAGGAGGTGTGGCGCTCGCCTTGTTAGCTATGTGGATTGATCGAAAGTAGTGGAGACGCTGTAGTCTCTATATGGTTTTTATCCACTATCATACGAATACCGTATCAGTAAGATATGCCACTGTTGGATTCTGAAGAAAGCAAGAATACTAGGCGATACGTGTTATCAAAATAACATCCAAAAATCGATGGTGAATTTTGCGTAGATTCTTCCACGGGCGCGCGCGAAACGCGGAAAACGCATGATCGATTTTTAGGCTATCATAAAAAACAGGAGTGATAACAGATTCTGAATCTACGTAAAACTCTCTATCGTTTAGTCACTTCGGTTCTCTCTGTGCAATCTGGACACTTTATCACAAAAATCGGTCACCCGGGATGACCTTTGGGCACATCAACTTTGGACGTAAATTTGTCGGAAGCCTCATGGACAGCAAAGGTTCTCGAAGCGAGCTGCTAGGACTAAGCTTCCGACAGGTTGTCGAAAAATTACTCTCACATGCAGTCCACTGAGGTTCACTGGAAATGCCATCATCATCATCGACTGCCACTTCCCCCTCTTTGCTTTTAGAAGTGCTATCTTCTGAAATGGTTGCCTTTTGAGTATGTTTAGATCATATTATATAACTTTTCGTTGGTAGTCTTCTAAGTAATTTGAATATGAACTCGTCGATTATAATATTGTCATAGAAAAAGTTGTCCAATTACGTCTGCAGTGAACTTTGGTCAGCTTTTTGTTCAATTCGAGTTACGGAGAAAAGGTTGTTCGCCCAATGTGGAACTATTACGGAAAAAACCACGTTATGACGAGAGTAAGTTATACGACTACGACAAATTATAAGGATTAAAAAAAGAAAATTAAAGAAGCGAAGCAGACGCTAACGACTGAGAGAGAAAATCTCAGACCATCTCGTCGAAGTCGACTAGTCATCCCTTCATTATCTTGTGGTCAACTCGATTCCGGATGAGTCGCTCGTCACCTGAACTCTTACTCTTATACAGTTGCGAGTAGGTAAACAAGGTTTCTCAAAAGAACAGTCATTACAGGTGACACGGAGATGCAGGTGG